GCACCGCGCCGCCGCGTGCCCCCCCCCCCAACCCACTTAGCATCCAGATTTCAACTCTGAGTTCATAATTTGTCACATCCCTTAATCTTGCTGTCGGATTTTCATAATAATTAATTTTGCGTAATAGATAATGGGTGGCAATACCGAGTATCAGATTTGAGTCATTCGAATTACATGTCTTGACTATGTTGTATCTTTTCATGGTTATGCTCCCATGTGCATATCTCATGAGAATGTTGTTCAGGAGGATACCTCATCAATCGAGGGCAGTATTCCTCTTGAAGCGGTTCCGAGCATGGACGTTACACCTGTAGAGACCGAAGGAAACGATACGCTTAGTGAGGTTGGTTTAACCTCCCATCATTGACCTCGTAACTGGGTACAGTTTAGGAGGTACCGTGCACAGCTAAAATCCGTATAAAGGTGAAGTTCCACCTGGGTCTCAAATCTCTTTGTTTTCGAGGGGAAGTATAAAAGTGAAGCGGTTTTATAGAGGCCGTACAATGTAGAATACAACCGAAGCTATATGAAACCTCCATTTTCGCAATGCTTCTTATGGAGAATATTCTCTTCCAAATAGTTTAAGAGGTTGCGATTTAGGATTCATTTCAGGTTGAATCTGTACACAAGACCCCTCTACGAAAAAGTGTCGACTCTGATCCTGGAGACTTTGTTAAGGTTGGATACATTATAATTTCCTTTCTGACCTCTTTTTGACTAAAATTCCTTTCGAGTACCAAATTCCTTGAAGAATCTCCCTCGTTATAGATTGATAACGCAGATAATGGGAACCAAGAAGAGCACGGTGAACCTGCAAAACTTAAGGTGTGTTGAATTCTCTTGATTGCGAATTGTTCTAAATTTTATATTATGCAAATTTTAGCGTGTTGGCGGAGATGGGGAACAATCTACTGAGCGCGGGGCAGGTGACGTTGAAAGCAAGGTTCGTAGATTTTTTTTCATATTTAGGTTTATCCAACTAAAATGTTCGCTGTAGAAACTTCCAACTGCAATGGTGAACCCGTTGGCGTCTGAAGAAGAAAAGAAAGACGTTGAAGAAAAAAGTAGTGAGGTTGAACAACCGCAAGAAGTTCCAGCCAAGAAATCTGAAGACAAATCGCAGTATGGAGGCCTTCGTCAATGGATGGAAAAAAATCCAACTGCGGTATGTGCTCTTTTCATTGTTCAGTGTTTCATTCATTATATCGATTGATCCCGTATTTATATTTACTTCATTGAAAAGCAATTAAAAAACTGGTAGGCAGACGTATCAATATATGTGACGCTACTGATTTGGGCCGACTGAATAATACAACTCCATTATGCAGAAACCTCGAGCACATGCTGGCAGCAGCATGGGGGCTTAGCCAGAGCTTTTTGTGACTTCCCCATCCTATTCGTATCCAAGGTGTTTTAATTGCACTTGGTTTTCGCTTGACATCTTTCTTTAAGTGGCGTATATTGATAGTCAGCGCTGATCAATATCCTTTTTATATTGATTGACACTGAGCTAGCGTTAAAGGACACTGAGCTAGCGTTAAAGGTTCGACTTTCAAGTGGAACAGGAATCATGTTTTGGAGATTAATTCGTCTGATAAACGGTTTACGAAAGTTGCAGATTTTTTGAATAAATTTATTATTCTCCACTTTATTGACGCCATTCAGTCGATTATTGAAAGTTTGACGTTAACTAAGACTTTCCCACTGGTCGGCTGCCTCATTATTTCACTTACTTGATGGTTTCAAAAGTTGAGTTTATGACTTTTCAATTGTAATTCTAGGTTCGCTGCGCTGCCACAGCAGCTGCCGTCGCAGGTCTTGCTGGAATCGGTGCTTTCGTTTACGCCCGAAGGGTTCGTTCTGGTGGTGTTTGACTGAAGTGCGCTTCTGCTGCCAGAACGGTTTTAGATACGGAAATGAATCGATGGTTTATTAGATGAGAAATTTAGAACTAATTATGTATTTAATGCTACTACCCATTTCTACCGGGTTCTTCGAGATGAGGTGTGAATCTGTACTCTTTTCTGTAATTTCGCTTCCCATAAGGGGCCTTATTGACTTACTACGTTCGTAGTTTTTAATTATTCCTTATTAGTTTTATGCAGACGAGAAGAAGTGTACGTAACGAATTTGATAAAAATTCTATTTCACAGTTTGTTTCTTCGACTGCTGTTCTCGCTTTCCGATTCCTTTTCGTTTTTGAGAGCGCATTCCTTTCTTCATTTTTATTCGTTTATCGTCGATTTACTCATAACGATTGCAAGCGTCGCTTTGTGTCAGCGACTCTGAAGTCTTCCCAGAATATACTTTGCATAGTATTTAAAACATCAGAACACTTGAAGGCATGGGACTATCATTTTATGGCTTTAGCGAAAAAGTCCGAAGGAATTCGTCCCTATCTATTATATCACGTCAAGCCATTTGTCACATATTATAAAACTTAGATACAGGGGTGGCAGTCAATGAGTTGTTATCAAAAAACAATGAAAGCAGCCTAGTAACATTTATTTCGGAATGCTTTTGAAAAAAAATTGAGTTTTTAGGGGTCTACATTCATCTTCTCTAGGCCTTGAGGGAAAAGGAGTAGTAAAAGGGAAGTGCTTCTACACGTATGGTCAGGAGATCGAATTCTGGATCGGTAAGCGCCTAAGCCAAGAATCCTGGCTCGGTAACCGCCGAAGTCAAGCTCTCGAGCCTTTGATCCATTTTATCCATTCCACGTCGCCTAGATGAGACCAGACCTGTCTGGCAGGAAAAAACCCCACTTGTTAACCGGCTGGCCCGCAGATCATGGCATAGGCCAGATACGCTATCAAATGCCGCTACGATTCTGTGTGGTGCGGATATGGAGACGGGTCCCGAAGAGGTTTGTTCCAGAAACTTTATCTTTCGAACTCGTCTATGAATTTTAATCACCCTTCTGCAACATCGACTGCAAGCATCACCGTTCCGTTTGACAAAGAGAGTTTGTGCTGAGGGATTACTAGCTTCTTGAGCTTAAAGTCATTCTTGAGGGCGGCCTGAGCAAAAAAACAGATCTAGACTTACCTATGCCGAAGAATGAACCACTCTCGAAAAGGTTACAATGCACGGAAACTATTGTAACGGCTGACCTTAGTGGTAAAATCACTTGACACACCGGACGAAAGAATTTCGTCCCGCTCAGAAATTGTTGGTAATTTGAATAACTCCATTGCCGTAAATGTAGCCTTCACCAGTTACTGGCCTCAGGAATGCTGACATAAGTACTACAGCAGTTATGCACCCCCCATTAAATAGTCATTGAAAACTGGTTTTTCCTGAAGTTGAAAACTTGTTCTGCACAGAGCGCGTTAAGTCAATCGTAAAAGTCTACTTTTTCTGTTGTACTCATTCCAATCAATCCTATTCACAATGATGGCATTGTCTCAGAGAACCGATGTGGCATGCCGAACAGCCTGTTGGGCTGTTCAGCGCTCCGCTCGAATACGAATATCGCATTTTCGCTTTTTTTCCTTCGCCCAATATGTCCACCGTAATTCTTGTTGTTGACGTCTAACAGCTTCTTCTTCTCTCTGGAATACTTTGCGTTTATATTTATAGAGCTTCCGTTTTTTGGTTTGCTAAGAATCAGAGTTTTTTATGCGATACTGTTAGTTAGGTCTAGGTAAGCCGAGCTTTTCATCCCTTGAAGTTGTACTACATGGTATCAGATCGATTTAGCAGGTAAAGCGCTGACGCATACATCATCTAGGCACCCCAAATTATTGTATAGGACACGTAGGCATTCAAAACGCCAGTGCGATTCTCATTGGATGTCGGTGCGGGGCGCATCCCAAAAAACGGGATCGATCAGTGCCGCCGAAAGCTATTATCCTTTTTCTAGTGGTGCGGTGCTCCCGAAGAAAACCAGCGCTGTTGAGTTTCAGAGATTCGTGAAGTTATCAACTCATACAGCAATATAGATGAATCCTGCTCCAGTTTTATGCGAAGGGTTCTCCTAACTCAGGGAAAAATCGTCGTAAGCCCTTGTTGCTCTTTTATAGGCCCACTGTTGACTACAATAGGTGTATGAGATCAGAGTCTGTTCTCATGACAAACATATGAGCCACATAAATCTCAATATGAGCCTGAAAAGAGTATTTCGTTGACCTGTACACGGTGGAGGAAGCAGAGATCGATGAGATGCTGAGGAATGAATTTCTCAGTCTAAGATTAACCTTCCGGGAAGATGGCGGCCATAACATGGAAATCGATGTTTTCCGACGAATTTTTNTTTTTGATTTCATTCTTAACTGAGTATGGTTGATCGGTTGAAATTCTCATCAGGAAATTATTCCACTTCGGTTCTTACAGCAAGAACATCATGCTTCTCTTTCCTTTCCTTTTCGATCATTAGTGAAAAACAAAAAGCCGATTAAAGTTGCCCATAAGAATTTCTAGATCTAGATGATGAAGAGCTAATCCTTTTGAGCAATCGGCTTGATTCAGGATCGCAGTGGCGTCTAAATGCATTTGTGACCGATCAAATGACGATACGGGGGCCAGGCGATGTGAAAGTCGGACCTTTTACCCTTCCAGACGGGTTTGGTATGGATTGGCCGATCCCGAAGGGATGAAAGTCTTTGTTGGCTTGGGCGAATACCGATCGGACATTCGATTCCCGGACCATATGTGTGCGATAGTGCGCCATTTGTCACCCCACCACCACATTACCTTTTTCATCTGATTTTTAGGTATAAAAGGTCAAACGAAAAGGCCATAATACGACAGTAATGTGGAAAGTTATCCATCCTTAGCAGTGGAACCACCACCCAGCAAGTATCATTAATTAACAGAAGAACTTTCCGTTCTCTCTCACCTTTCTCTTCCTCGTTCCACTCATTTGCAGTTTTCCGTACACTGTAGTCAGTTTTGCCCTGTGGAGTACCGTACTCATATTCACTTCTATTACCTCAACGACACCTTCTACCTCATCTTTAATTACCAGTTCTACAGAAGTGTGTGGTGCAGTAGGTGGCTTTCCGGGAAAGAACATCAACGGAAGGGTATATCGTAGGCAGTAGGAGAAGCCTCTCATCACACCCCTCGCCTCCTTCTATTTCAGCCTCTTTGATCCTGTTGTATGATTGTGAATATGCCCAATGAACTGTTACAATTTGTATTACATTGTAATTATGACTTCTCACGTTGTTATGACAAAATCCAAATTTTCATTGAATGAGTCATATCACACCTATCATACCTATTGGCATAAAAAATGTATTCAGTTTACACATATCATCTGATTCGTCGTTCTTCACGCCCCCATAACTCATCTGATTATGAGTAATTACTGTAAGAAAAATGATGACGTCAGCTGAATTGATGGGTGTGCCAGAACCCTTACATAGACAGGCCTTCATCAAAACTGTTCTCGATGATTTACTCATCTTTCTCATCCAAAAACCACCAAAGTCGTTTACTGAACAGCGACCAGTTACAATTTTATTTACCCCAATTTACATCAATGAATCCAAAATCTTCTTTCAGTTTTCTTCTCATGTTTCCCCGATCAATCTCTCACATGACCTTTTTTTTGCTCTGTTGGAAAAGGGAGTTATGATGCAATTTCGATTGTAGCCCAGACTGACTGCTTCAAAAATGGAGTAGAAGTAGCCATAGTCACTTCACATGAAGTTTAAGTTAACATCTTCGAAGATTTGACGTCAAACATGTACTTTCAAAACTTAAAATGAATTGTTCGGGTGACCTTGACTATTGTTACTAACTGAGACAGCCTTGGCACTACTTACCCATACCATCCTTTGAAGGCACAACTAGGAATGGCGAGACTGGTTGGAAAGTTAAAAGTAGAAGTGCACAGTGAAAAAAATCCGAAAAAACCGCTGGTAATCTAAAAACGGAAATTATTATACTATCATTCTCGACGAAGAGGTACGAGGAAATGATTATAAGAGGGGCGTTTGGACGAGTTTATCGCCATCGTTGTTGTACCTAACATTCTACTATAATCACTTGTGTGTGCTTTCGAGAAGAGGTTGAAGGGGAAGTCCAGAAGGTCATCGTCACCAGGTCAACGCCTCCAAGAATGGGCGTTTCTGGCAGCAGTGGCGGCCGTCCTGTCCTCCCAGAGCCTTGGGATGTGACTAACTATAAGTCAACTATAGCCTCTTTGGTCCTCGTTGCATTTTACCAACAGGCCATATGTTAAACCAAGTTTAGCAAATCAGTAGTTCCAGTGCCCGATAGCATAAGTATGCGTTCGAGACCCATCCGGGGCCGAAGTTTTATCAATGAATCGCCAACCTTGTGAGATTAGTTCCAGTGATATTAGTAGTGTTCGGTAATGGTGTTAGATCATCCACTTGTGGAAAACACCCACTCGGTACGCTCGCAACCACTCAACTTAACGGTAACTAGTTCTCCGCATTAGTTAGCGAGTCATGTCGGCGAGTGTAAAACCCCTGTTTGAGCGGATTAGAAATAAGTGACCAAACAAGTCGATGGGCAAGTAGTTGGAAATAAAATGGCCGTAGAACGAAAAAAAAAACAAACGATCGATAGCAATTTCTTAAGTCTCAGAAGAACATAAGGGAGAATTTGATTCTGTGGATTCAGATATTGGGACTTTATGATTTATGCGGTCATTCGATAGTTAAGAACGTAACGTTATCGACTTCATCAAATCGATAAGAATTTCTCTGCGATCAAACTCTTCTAGCGAAGAGACATCGATTTCAAGCACTTCCGGCTGTAGACGTCATCATGCCAGTCGAAGTTTAACATCAATAAATATAGTTCTTTTGTATCATCCTTACCGTTACAATACATAATACATATGTTGCGTCAGAGCAACAAAACAAGTAATATGACTGAACTCAGTGAATGATGATCCTTTAGACACCAAAAATTGCCATACTGAATATAATGCGGACTATAAAAACTGTGTTTTTGACTCAGTAACTAAGCAAAGTGATATTAAAAAGGCATCGGACGATCAGTGAACCGGTCACAGATACGGAGCACCAAAAAGCGGTGGACAAACCGACGTCGCGCGATTTTGCCGCGCGATCGCCATTTCAATGCGAAGCCGCCGACCGAATTTTTGTCCGACAGAGGCCATGATATGCTGCTCGCTTTCCTCTTGGGTTTTTTGTATCCATTTTTTCGTGTCCTATCTCTCACCAAGACAATGTTCGTCGGTGTTTTATCACTGCATTTCTTCAGTTTTTTTGTGGGTAATTGTTGATCACTATCAGTTGGTATTACTAGTAACTAATTGCTGTCATCGTTCCCATCCTGAATGAAGCAAAATCTCACCGGGATCTATAGGCCGCCCTATAGAACGGAGATAAGATTTGGGTTGGGTGCAAAAGTCCTACTTCGTGATTAGGGACACCAAACATGGGAACACGGTCAACAGGTCTTTAGCGGAGCATCATAGCAGAATGCAATAAATCTGGTTTTCACGAAAGAAAAAAAGAAGATGGATGATAGGTCACAACCGTCTGGGTTTTTTTCACTTGAACATTTTAGTTTCCGAACTTTCCTCCGCATTTGTCGGCGCCATGCCATACTACGCTTCAACCGATCAGCGAACTTTGTACCCGAGTTGTCACGTCGCTGGCATGCAGGCAACATTTGTTTCGCTGTATTTACCGTGGTCCTATATGTGGATTTGAATCCAATCTCACACTGCGCGACCAGAGACATAGGGCGTGCGGAGAGCGCGGCCTGCCATTCGGGTACAGATCGCGGCCGTGGCGCAGATGAATCGAAATGGTCGCCAGAGCGTTGTCGCAAACCAAGGAATGTAGCAAAGTGTAGCAGAATAATCATGCCAAGTATAATAATCACATATCGACGAGCTGTATGAGGAACGCTAGGACTGCAATAGCGAGGCAACTCGTCCGCGACTGCCATGTGACAACACAGAACCGATTCAACTGCTTACCTCCCCGAGATCCCACATCACAAGCAAATACAATTGCACGACTGGGAGAGTATAAACGAGAAGAGCGAAATTTTGGCGCGTGGTTAACGTAGAGGGCCGAGCATGTGTTTTGTCGTGACGCCCACGACTTCTTCCACGCAAGGGCTGTCACTACATCGCACGCGCACTATTCGACGCGTAGTACCGTTTCCATCGCTGAGGCTGCGCGCCGCTCGTATTGATTGCGACGTGGCATTGGGTGCCATGGCGTGGAGTGTGCACACAACACCTTTCGCATTTTTGATATGTCTATCATATCGCTCGGTCAGCATATCTTCTAGCGCATCATCATCGTCGCAGTTTCCTTCGCCATCCAGCTTGGCCGAAAAGAGGGACGTTATCATAGAGGCACCAATTCCGCCGCACTGCCGAGGAAGGATAGGAAGAAGGTGATCCAAGGAGCGAAAGAGTCGCAGCGGTCGGGAGAGCTGCTAGCTGCCGTCGGGCAGCTAACGCCATCTGCATCTAGGCAAGGACGACGGCGCCGAGGATCCATGGAGAGCAGCGAGGGAACTTAGGGCCGAGGAGGCACACGGTCCATGCGTGGCACACGGTCGCAGGCACCGTCTCCCTTCCCGAGGGCAGCGAGTGCCGACAGTCTCTTAGTGACGCAGGAGCTTGCCCTAGGTTACTTTCCTTCTTGTTTGGTTCGTGAAGATAAATTTAGTTTCCTTGATGTTTGTTTATTTGGTGATAACTTAATTGGCGAGTTCCGCACAAATCGAAATTCTCTAAATTGTAGATCCCATGTAGAATCGTGGCAGCACTTCCCCGTCGCGACAAATTTATAAGTAGTGACCGCCGCTTTAGAATCAGTGATGTTGGGAAGGGAGAGGGAACAGAGGGGAGAGGGAAGGGAGACGAATCGCGAGCAGTTTCGCCAGTTGACAGACTGGTTGTGCCGCCGTCTAGCTAGTTGTCTCAAATTAACCACAACTAGGCAAAATTGCAGTTTCAGCCCCAGGCTATCGAAATTACCTTTTCGGCAGCCACCGTTGGACGAGGTCGCACTTTAACTTGAACGCTGAACTCCTACTCTGAATTAGAAGCCCAGTTTCTCCGACATGGCACTCAAACAGCTGCGACAACAGCTCAAGGTGCTGTCAACAGAAATAATCCATGGATTTTCATTCTGATATAAAACATCTATGTGCTTTTTCCTAATCCTAGGTGATTGTTTACAAATAATGCATAATTCAAAACAGTAAACATAATAAATGAGGAGAATCAGACGCTTACCGATTGGGGCGAGTCTGGGAACTTCTCCCTTAACACGGCGCCGCACGCCGCACCCGCCGCGTATCGCAGGATTGCGATGGAAGATTGGAGTGCGCAATTTGTGAGGTAGGGAGTCCTTTAATTATTTGAATTGGGTGACCGCTTTCTTCAATTTCAATGCAGTCTTGATCGTCGCTTACATGGGAGTAGTCATTTTAATTAATTAAGTCTAATAAACATGAAAACGAAAAAGAAACAGAAGAAAAAAACGATCAAATCCAATAAAAAAGCAAGACAATCAACGAAAAATATCGCGTCCTATCGATTGGCGGGGAGGCGGGGTGGGTACGGTAGTTGCAATGACATTTGCCGCATGCCGCAAGGGAGAATGCCGCGATCGGAGAGAAGTTCCGTTACCCGATTGGGGCAGCAAACGCGGTGTTGCTCGTCTACGCCCTCTTCTCGAGACAGTAGTATTCATCAAAGTTCTGATTATTGAGCCAGTGATTCATTTTCGGAGTGATTCTAGAGAAATTCTTTTCAGGAAAGATCTTGCTAACACTACCTGAGACCCCACCCTACCTACGTAACTTCAAAAAACTTTTGGGCAAATATAAAGACAACTGCTATTCTATGACCAAATGATTCACCCACTTCCTTATTTCGCTAACCACACCCATTTCCCATGCTCTCATGTTCACGCAAAACAATTTTTTCATTCACTCCTACCCACGAAATGGCCGAATCAGCGTAAAGTATGTTGGCAATTCCGGAGCTCATAGATTCCCATGTGAATTCAGCTTCCAGTCGAACTCAATTGCCCCTTTTAAAAGCGTTCCACAGCCGATTTCAGATGGATTTCTAGAGCCTGTCCATGGACATGGATGACTATTACAAATATGGAACCTCCTTCTAGTAAAGTAGAATAAGTACTACAGCACTTCCTGTTGTCAACCGACTCACCCCTTTTTCGCGTGACGCTCGAACACGATTTCGTACGCAATTGCGTATAAAGTCAGCCTTGTTGTTACGCGCAAACTAGTTTCTTCCTCCTCCTCCTCCTCCTCCTTCTAGCCCCTTACTACAAAGATGTTTTTTGGTGGTCAAATGAGATATGGCTCATAGAACTCGTTACGGTTCAACTCCTTCCTTTTGTTGAGGTTTACCTCTTTACCTTCCAAATGCCAAAACATCTACCGTGTAGCATTTGAAATATATTCGCATGTAAGCTCTAAGTAAGTCAGAGTTTCTACTTCCTCAACTTTTTTCTTTCTGTTTAATCTCTCTTTTTTCTTTTTTAATTGCAACAATTCGGAGTATGTTAGTTTTTCTAGTGACTCTGTGAATGTCCAATGTCCATTGCTCCCGTGTCATTGGCTTGCCGTGTTGTGCGCACGTATTACCTTGACCTGGGCACATCGTCGAGACCGTCCCCGTCTTAGGTGGACACCGCCATCTCTTGTTCTATTCACTGCTCTTCTCAATTATTTCCCTCCTTCGAGTGCTCTAAGCCTTTTGTACTCCCATCGCAATATCTACTGAATTGAACCAACCTTCTAAACAATGCGTTTTCTGACCTTACCATTTTGCTCAGCTTTGAGCAGCCTATACTTTCTCTCTGTTCCTTGAAGATCCAGTGCATCGACTTTCCGATAAAAAAAATTACCTATTATTTCCTATGTCCTTTGTGTGGGCTAGACATGGGAACCCTAGTTTTTACCTGCTGAAGCACCATTAAGCGCCATCTGGGTACAGAAGTGGACTAGATTGCGCACCACCACCATGTGAAAATTATAGACTATGGGAAATGGGAAAACTGGATATTTCAAAATAGTAGTAACAAACTATACCTTTTCAGTGGGTTCTTTATATGTCAACGATGCTGTGCCCATTTAGAAGAGCAGTTAGGTGTGGAAAGAGAGTTATCAAAGTTTATAATGATCCAAACTTTTCATCGATTCTGCAGAATGTGGTGTAAATTGTATATGGGTGATTGGTCTGAGGATCGCCCCTTTACTGTTTACCTTCAGAACAAAGTCATTTCCGTGGTTCGGATGTTTTCATAGGCTGTCTGCGCATCAACGTCTCTCATTGGGTTTTCCGTAGTGGCCGTCTGACCGGTTGTGAGATTGCAGTTCGCCGACGTGGCGCTCCTTGAAAGTTTCACTATTCCGTTCTCCCACATCGCCCCATCCAGCCTCAACTACCATCTTCTGTTCTGTTACGTCCATTGCTATTCAGCGGCTACTGTTTCGGAATGTCGTTCCGTCCTTGATTACTTTTGCACAGCACCCGCATTCCTCAGATTGTTATTGTCAGGGTTGTGCTGCTGCTTCTATTCGAGAGAAAGCGAAATCGGAGACGGCCGGCGGCGGCGGTTTCCACCCAATCTCGCAGATCCGTCCCAATGGCCCATTTTCGTTTGTTTCCCGATCAGATTCCCGTCCTGTCACTCTCTCATATCACCTAATCCATGAAAGCCTTCATCTTTATAGGAGTCGAAATGTCATTGCAGCTTTCAATAGTCATCAAATCACAACATGAAAAGAATCTATTCGATGATGTCGCCCTTTCCCATTTTCTGTTTCATTAGGTATTCTGAATGTAATGTGAACTTCTCTTTTCATCGTGTATTACTCGAAAATTGGTTTCGATCAAATGCGCGCTGTTCCCAGTGGAACCAGATAGGAAAAAACGGCTGCCGCTTTTATACGTCACGATCCCATTACACTTACTGCCTGCTTAGGTATGATTGGCCTGACGCAAGTATTGGCTGTCCTAGCATCGGCTAGCCTTTCATTGGCCGTAAAGACGTCCAGTCAGCTTATTTCGCTTCATGAGGAAAACTGGATAGAGATAATGAAGGGCGAATGGATGGTTGAATTGTAAGTCATTTCTTTTGGAGCTTAATTGCATCATGATTCAAAGATTTTTGAAAATCTGCCAAATGTTTTAAGATTACATGAGGAGAAATGAACTAAAGTTTACTTTAACTGTTTTAATGAAACTGTCCCCATTCCTCGTTGTGACAGTTTTTTGTGGTTCAGTTATTTAACTTCTTGTCTGTCTGTGAGAGGTGAGCAGTCGCTGAAATGGGGTCACTAGGGTGTGCGCTACAGTTCTTCTTTTCTTGTTTTCATCGATTTGTTATTGTCACGGCTTCGAATCCGTGATTCTTAGAATCGCAACCAAAGTAGTTTTTCTAACTAATAAATAATGGTTTTCCACGACTTATTTATTCGAAGTATCCACTAACAGGTACAATTATAACAGTAGCTAAATATATGTAGTGAAATATATGGCCACATTGGTGAGAGACTGTGGATTCGCCATATACTTTGCTTCATTTGATAAAATACTTTTGCATTCGGAAGCATGTCTTATCAGTTAAATAACAAGGGTAGCACGGGCGTTATTTCTACCTTTGGTAGTCAATCCAGAAAAAGATGGCTCTGTAAGTCGAAGTGAGGTCTGGTCCAGGCATCACATAGGTGTACGATCCTACAACATCTTGTGGGCGGAATCTTCACCATGGCGTGGGATACATAACAGTAGGAAACCCTTCAGAAACGGACTGGACGGTACACATCTAGTTATCCCCGTGGTCCAGATCTGATAGTTGATCTCGATTCTTATTTGCCATCTGCTATCGTCATAGACGGTCGCTGTGGTCGAGGTAATGAAACTGATCACTGAACTGGAGCCACTTTTTTGATCGACGTGGTGGAACAGGGGCATAAATTATCTCAATTCTTGCAATGAAATGCAAATGCTCTTTCCCGACATTCCTGTACATCCTGACAACAAATTTCTGTGACTGACTTACGGAAATTCGTTGCCAGGAAATAAGGGAATTCTGAGGAATGGTGTGCCAAATCGGTCGATTTGCTGGAAAATCTTTAAGATGACTTCTTTCAATGTCTCCTCGACAACCACTGTATCGGCATACAATGTGTTGATGTCCTGTCCCCATATTTCGGCTGGTCATTCTGCCGTTTTGTTGTTTTGGTAAAGTTTGTCCCTCATCTTTCCGGTCTAAATAAGTAAACTCATCCCCATTATTCTTTCAATTGTTTGCCAGAGATGGAGTTTATAGTAATTATTTGCCGCGACGAATCGACAGATGGGCTAGGCTGCTAGCGCTGCGCTGCAAAGACAAACAACAGAGGCTGCAAGCATTTTTGATCTTTCGCCCAGATCCAGAACAAGTTGCTACGAAGTGTAGCGTCGTCGCGAACCGATTCGGGAGACTAGCACATGATCGTGCAGCGGTTTTAGGCGTTCAATAATCCGTGGTTCGTTTTTCAGTTTCCCTCTCCAAACTTTTGAACCTTTAGATTTATTCTTCACCTATGCTACCAAACATTTTTGGTTCCAGTCTAGTTTACAAAAAACACTTTAGAAGTATGAGCATACTTTTTCAGCAGTGGTTAAGAAATTCATAATTTCTTTGTCTTCCATGAAACTAATTCCGAAACCACCGAGTTTTCTCGGCTTGTCACAAGAAAAATAAAAGTTTTGAGTATTGCTTTGTTTTTTCTATATTCATTGAAGACGGTTTTCTCCCGTACATTTACACCGGTTTCAGCCACGCTCCATGGTGTCCGGCTTGCAAGGATTTGCAGAAAGCATGGAATGCCTTTGCCGATTGGTCGAAAGATCTTAACATCAAAGTTAGTCTTTTATAACTTCAAACATATTTTTCCCAGTGGATATTTTCGAAACGTCTTTTTTCCTTTGATGGAACTTATATTCTTTAGCGTTCGATGAAAGTTTGCGTAGTAGGGGGATCAAGCATTCTAACTATCAATTTATAGCCTAATGTATTGTGTAACGAGTTGTTGTTAGAAGTCAGATAAAGATAGGAGAAAAGGTTCGGAATGCAAAAACGGGAGCGAGGAGAGGTTGGCTCGGCGTTGGGAAGACAAATTTCTGCTCAGGTTAAGCTCTCACTGGTGTTTAGGGAAACAAGTAGGTGAATATCACAAGGATTGTTATTGCGTCATCGGAATTGTGGCGGAAGGAAATTGCAACATTTTTTTCTACTCACTAAACTGAAAAAAACTGAAGTGCACTTTGACGACCAGTCACTGAAGTAGCAGGAAGTGGACACTAATCTTTTGTATTGGATTGCAGCATAGTCATGTGAAGGTCGTAGTATAAAAAAAACGAACGTATTGAGTGGGAGGTTCAATAATGCTCTTTAAAGGTATGATATCTACGTATTCATAGTAAGAGATATCGTATTTTTAGATGAGAAGAGGTCTAATTTACCTAAAATTGATAAAGAAATCGCTCATTTGTGAAAGTCAGACCTAAGGTCCATGCTCCTCAAAGGTTGTATTACTCAATAATGAGTCGAAAACATGTCTCGTTTTCTTTCAGGTTGGAGAGGTCGACGTAACTGTTAACCCTGGTCTCTCTGGTCGCTTCCTTGTCACAGCCTTGCCCACAATCTATCAGTAAGAACTACATTTTCATGTATATGCACAGTTTCTATATCCTTTATTTCAGCGTGAAAGACGGCGTTTTCCGCGTCTACTCGGGCCCAAGAGACAAGAATGACTTCATTACTTTCATTGAAGACAAGAGATGGCGCAATATCGACCCTGTTCCTGATTACAAACATCCTAATAGCAAGCAGTGAGTGAATCGTTTCCCCTTTTCGAAATTGATAGATCAGAAGGGCATCGTTTTGAATGCACACACCAGCCAAAACAAATGTCCTATGGAATAACTGTTGGTAGTTTTCTTTAAGCATGTTTAAGCCTTATACGATAGATCGAATTGTGCAGTAAAGCTTCAAAGACATTCCAAAAAAACAGCTCCTATGAAGTTGTTGCACACGGTCTCTGATTAGATTCCGAATGTGTTTTCTGAGATTATTCAATGTCGTACAGAGGTCCTGACTTTTTAGAAGACAAAACTTGGACGGCAACTCAAAACATGGCATTGTTTCGCCCATGCGAATTAATCAGTAGCAATATTTTCAGAATGGCTGTTGTTGCCGTATTCTTCAAGCTGTCCATGGCAGTTCGTGATCTACACAACCATCTTGTAGAGGACAAAGGCATACCATCGTGGGCATCGTACTCTCTGTTTGCCGGTGTCACCCTTGCTCTTGGTTGCATCCTTGGCTTTGTAAGAGTTTCATTTTTAAATAATTTTAGTTTCTCAAAAATATTTCAAATACTGCTCAATTGTCTTACGTCTCTGTGATGGTTCATTTCAGTTCATTGTTCTCATTATTGATCAAGTGTTCCCTACCGGAAAGAAAAGTGCTGTCCAACCAAAAAAGGACACAAAGAAGGACTCAAATGGTGGAACGAAGAAAGGTTGTGTAAAATTCTCGTCACACTTACGTCATATTATGAGTTGCAGTGGATTCAGTGTACTTTGAACGGCATATTACCCTGGTATTCCTCCTGTTTAATCACCAAATTTCAGCCGATGACACGAAGAAGAGAGAAAACAGTTCACCAAAACCTGAAACGAAAAAGTCAAAATAAGCCCGGTATGGTGGCCACATTGTTGAGAACATTTTTGGGCCTTTCAGTGTTTTCTTTCCTGAACGTTTTTCGAAATTCGTATAACTACAAAGCTAAAGTTGATATGATTTTTATGTTGCTGTCTCCATTTCCCCTTGCTTAAGTCACTTATCGCTATGGGTTTTTTGATACGTATATTCTCGCATAACGTTGAAGGGAAACCTCCCTGAATTTTCTGCCAATCTGGTGAAGGTTTGTCTGTGAAACTTCTGTGTATTGCGAAACATGCGGAGCCAATAGAGGCGAGCTCGGCCAAATCGATGGCCATGCGTCCGTCCATCACTCGGAGGTGGTGCTGTCTCCGTTCGTTTCGACGTTCTCTTTTGAACATCTCTTGCCATCTGATGAATTCCTGCATTTCATAAAATCTCGTTTCCAATTTCTGTCTTTTCGCTGTGTTTGTTACGAGTGCTGAAATATTAAGAAATTATTTATTGTTTTCTTTGCAAGTGTGGATTTATACTTATGCAATTTGTCGTATAAGTACGGACACCTTCGTAATAAATACATTCGTTATCGTTTTCCAATAACTGCCGACATGCGGTTCGTTCCCCTTTCTTTCTTTGTATCTGTGATACCATCATGGTGATCATGGTTTTCTTATATTTGTTTATAACTAGTTTTTATTGAATGCAGATCAATAGAGATTATTTAGACACCTTTCAGGTACAACCTTTTTCCATACACTTAAGCAAGTTTTACGGCTCGAAACTTCTGGTTCAGTAGAGTCTAGCGGCCAAGAATGCATTGTTTCTTAGGGAAAGGAGCTTGGTTGTGCTTGAGGTAGGTAGGTATCAGTGCCTAGGGGTAGCCAGGCTAAAAAATTAGTTGGCGTAGCCGCAATGGAAAAGGCAACTGCAGCGGCATGATAGAAAAAAAAAGAATGAACGAGGCTGGACGCAGTCTTGTCACGGACAAGCACGAAAATTCAATACAGGAACCTGGTTCTTCCAACATCTCCTCGTCTCGTATGGGAGTAATCCAGAAAAGGCCTTGAGCAAACCTCCGTGTAGTTATGGGGTATAAAACCCAGGTATAGAAGCCCTTTTCCTGAATAACATCGGTCTGTTCCAAGCTTTTATTGTTGTCTTACATGTCAGTAGTACGTGCCACTCTGTGGTAGAGTGGAGGTGGTATAATGGTAAGGGGTGCACTATCACATAGGCATGGTCGTTAGTTCCAATCCCGGATCGATACTCGGTCAGTCAAATGTATCACTCCATCCCTCCGCGGCCGGTTAATTGGTTTCAGACACGTCTGGGAGAACAGAACCACTCACTTGTATATTGGTTGACCTCCGCAAGTCCTTGTATAAATCATATCCGAATAAATCTCATGTGGGGGTGCACCCTAAACACGGGAGTAAAGATAAAGGTCAAATATGTTATCCACCATTGAAAGAGCATAGATTCATCAGTATCCTTAGTCGTTGATAGGCCTTGAGGACTGTTCAAAATAAAAAGCAGTAATCAATTTTACAATCATGATTTTGCGCTTTATAAGGTAGTACGAATGCTGGTAAAACTGCCTATGACGGCTTCTTACGTGGAGAACAAAATGTATTTACCCTTCGGTTCTAGAAAAAGCAATTGCGGAATGGAAGCTGCAGTCTTGCAGCAGCATGCACGGCAAGAATGTACTATGCATGCATACCCTCCCGTCTTGGGACAAGAACTAGAATTAAGTAGGATTGTTTTTTTAAGCTATCCCACTTTTGCTCCCTCCCACTTCTATGCTACAGCTAATTTCGAGGTAGTACAAAGTAGTAAAGGGATTACGGTAAAAGTTCGTGCTGTACTGAATTTTTGTTGTCCTGACAATAAGTTCGATACAGTGATTGGAAATCCACTGTTGAAGATTTTAAAGGGTACGTTTAAATAGTATAAAAGCTCTAGGATTTACAGTCTATGTCAATCATATGCTCAATCCAACCAATTTTGTTCTCCCGAATCGTGTTATCATTTGGTTGACTCACTAATCTCATGAATATGTAAATCTGCGCTTGGTGACTCTGTTCGCGTGTTCCCAAAGCTGGGCATATGGTGCACTTCATAAAGCACCCCAAATCTCTGTTATACCCAAACTTTTCGAAACATCGAAGCGCACTCAAGTTCCTCTTGTTCGGACTATTAAGCTTTCATTCGAAAGCACAAGAAACAGATCCCATTTGAAAGCCGTTAAAACCGTGGAACACCACGTCCTATCAGGAAGGATCCTTATAAACCAGAAATATAACGAATGATTACGACGCTGTGTTGTGGCTGAGGCCATAAATTGGAAAATCCTGCTCAGCAAGCCGCAGATCAGAAGGGAAACCTCTGCTGTGGTTGCTCTTTGAAGGGGTGAAGCAACACTTTGAAGAATTGTATTTAAAGGATTATGAGTAGAAGTACGGACTAACCTATAAGGACGTATTCAAATCAGGTTGTGAAATTAGAGCGGTGAAATTTGTTCGCATTAGTCTTCCGTCTTGTTACGTCCCGCGACCGAATATATAATGCATATGCGCATGTAAATTAGCTAAAATCATGTAAACCCTCTCAAGATTAGTGCTTGCGGAAGTAAAAATTGCTGTCATTGCTACACTACCTCTGCAGGCCAGGGCAAGGCAACCTACAGTTTGTGGGTGGATTCGTCAAGCAATAGGTACTAATCAATTCAAGGGACTTCGAACCCTTCAAGGGACGCTTTTCTCCCGTCGCCCACTGCGAAGTATAAAGGCCACCACGGAGATCTGTTTACATCACTATTTGCGCGTACAGTAATCGCTACTGTGGGGCTGTTGCGTTATTTTACGTTCAATATGTCTTGTGCGCTGTCTCTTCGACTGTGCTCTTTCGTCTAACGACTGGTCGTTGCTGTCCCATTTACTGGTATGAGTGTAATTAATTATTGATCATCGCCGCTTGCTTTCGACTGGGATAACCTCTTCAGCATATTTCTTTGGTTTCGCAAACCTTGCTCTATCGTTTTCACCAGCTCGAAACTGATCAGCCCAGTACCTTCAGTTCTGAGACGTCGCCACAGGTCTTCATAACGATCTGCATATGGCACATGTTCTGGAGAAACAAGGCTGAGCGGTGCCGCAACACTTAAAGAACCATAACTGTAGCTTCATTGACACTAGAAAATATCTTCCATCCCTTTCCTTCATCCAGAATCGGTCAGCATTTCATCGTCCACACTATACCATTTCAAACCAGCACCCTAGCTTAATCCGGTACTATTAGGAAGTAGCGGTGGAAAGAGATGAGGGATATTTAAAGGATGGTGAGATGTTTGGTCATTTGCTGTATATCGCATGTGTAGCTTGCGTGCAATGTGTCACGGTAGCGGCAGGATGAATCAGCAGACGTAAGAATGCTTAATATTCAATCAGAATTTCCGGCCTACGGTAGTTTTTGGTGATGGCCTATAATCAGGAAGAGGTTGGTTTTGCCACGACCACTTTCGGAGCGTGAGTTTTGTGAGTGTGAGAGTCTTGTAATTGTTTGCAGATCCGAATAGGGAAACGCTATCCTTTACTTTTTGCCTTTCAGGAACGATCTTTGCAAATATTTGGTTAATCTAGGGAAGGCCAGTGCCACTACCAGTGCTGGTTGATTTCATGAAGCCTTATCTTACAGCCTTGCAGTCCTCAATGCGAGATAGAACGACAACTCCTATTTTGCCTAAATATCTTTCATATAATATTTGTTCGTAACTTGTGACTTATGGTGCCGCGGATCTCATTTCACAAATGATATGCAATTATAATGCCAATCAACTCCGTTTTTTNTTTTTTAGGGGCAATCGCGATGGCAAAAGTATGGCAAGCACTTGAGTCTAACCCGGACACAATTAATCCGGTAAGCATTCTTTGGAAAGTGTAATTGCATCAATTAAAGCGCCTGACTCTTTTTCTGTTTAAGTTTATGGCCAAAATTGGCGTTGAAACAGTGCAATGTGTGGATATAATTTCATTCGACGATGATGCTCTGGAGAACTTACCGAAACCTCAATATGCAGTTCTTCTCTGTCTCCCTGATTACAAAAAGGTTCGTTTATTTGTTTATCAGCAAATTAAATCTCATGAAGTTTTGCTGGTTCGCCAGCGCACAAGTATAAGTTGTGGTGATAGGTTCAACATGTGTCCAGATGATATTCCTTAACTCATGGTTTCCACGATCTTCCCTCTACCATGAATTCCCCATTAATTTCAGGAATGACGAGATTGATCCCACTATTAAGTTGCTATGTCGATGTCAAGCCTAAGAAGAAAGACTTCATAATTTTGCTACTAGCTCGAAATGCTTTTGCGAGTCTCGAAAATTTCACGACTTTTTCGCCCTCATCCTTGGACTAATGGGGTCTTGATATGAAATTATCCGAACACTTTCTAAACACTTTCTTCTGAACAGTTGAAGCGTCAAACTTGTAGATGACCATAATGAACGCCAAACTCGTTACAATCGTAGACAGGTGTCGATACTGTTGATGTTGATCTTTGAGGACATGTTTACCGAGGTAAAGGAAATCTTTCAAAAAAGTTCTTCTCTCATCATAAACAAACTCTCTTAATATTTCAAGCAAACGCTCAAAGCAGTATCTTCTTCCGCGTGCCTTTTCCTTTTCTCTTTCTTTCTCTTTTTTTTTNTTTTTTTTTCGAGTTTAGGCTTCCTTTTGAACTGGAACTGATGTGTTGCTACTTTCATCTATGCAAACACAAAGCGCTGACGGTAAAGGACATTCATTGCTCGGGTTATGCCCTTTATCTGAAATTGTCTATTTGCCTTGCTTCTGTGATGTTTGGGTTTGACATTTTACATCAGCATTTTACTTTGGTGAGTGTATCCATTCAGGTCAACGAATTAATGGCTCCAATTTATGAGAAGCTCCGCTCGGAAAATGTGACGCCTCCACCCAATGTATTCTTTATGGAACAGAAGATTAGTAATGCTTGCGGTACATTCGCATTATTCCACGCGTTAGCAAACATTGAGGACCAAGTGGACCTTGGTACGACTTATTGATGAATTCGATTTGTTCTCCTAATTTCAATTTTTACGCTTTTCTATCCCGATTTCAAATTTTTCGTTAAGGCTCTGGTTCGTTCCACAAGTGGCTCGAGGCAGCTAAGAGTTTAGGAATCGATCAGCGTTCGGATCTTCTTGCCAATGGTAAGCCAATTCTCGTCATTTCGGCACTTTCTTCACTTACTACTTTGGTGATCCTCAACCTAGATAGGTAACAGCGTTTATTAGGTCATGTATCGTTTGATTGCTAGGAGAGCTTTGCTTAATTACTTAGGCTACGTAGAGTTTTCCCCGTTTCTGATCTATTCTCTGCTACACCCTTGACGTTTCGTAAATATTTACAGTATATGATGGACTAAGTTATTTTGTTGGAAGTGTCTTCTACAACTAATCCTTCCAGATGAATCTCTGGCTGCTGCTCATGACGAAGCCGCTCGAAGCGGTGATTCGCATCAGCCAGAGGAGGTAGAGCATCACTTCATTTGTTATGTGAACAAGGATGGAACACTTTTTGAAATAGGTAAGCCTTCAATTGTAGATATTCGAACCCTCTACAGTTACATTTTCTTGATTCTGTTCAGACTCACGTGCACCGTTCCCACGTGCGCTTGGTACGACCTCTGGCGACACGCTTGTGAAGGACGCTGGAGTTGAGTGCAAACAGCTTATGGAGAAGCTCGACAATGTTTCGTTCGCAGCTATGGCTCTTGTTCCAAAGGTGTAATCAGTAACCAAGAAGAATTGTTGCTAGCTTGCCATTCCATCGGTGACTCTCGCTTTATCTCATCGCTTTAGCCCTTCATTTATGGGGTGCTGCAGAGCTTCTTTGTACTATATTGTCATTCCTATTTATTTTGTCATTTTGTTATGTTGCATCTTTCCTGCTTGACATTCCTGTCTGTGATTTTTTCCAGTTGGTTTTTTTCTGCGGTGTTCTCTATTACGGCTTCAATAAAATGCTTTAAACACTATTTTCTGTAATTTTCACGCAACGTTTGCTTGGACATATTACTTTAAAATAGTTGACCTAGTTTGTCTATTTGGCCCATCTACCTTTTGTTCCTCTCAGGACGTTCACTGCAATGACTGCACCTCAGTGGCATGCCCTCGAGTCTAATCCCGACACTATCAATACGGTTTGTATAACTTGAATTGTATTGTTTCTTCAATTTTCCATTTAACTAGTGCAAAGACAATGGACTAAGAATATAAATGAAATTAAAATTTGAAAGTATGCTAGGAGGAGGAAGAGGTAGGTGTTCTTCATAAAGTTCAATGCGGGCGTCTCGATAGCTTTTCTAATTCCACTACAGGTGAGTTGGTGAAGTGTGCGAATAAAAATTGTCCTTGATTTTAATTCCATTTTTCTGCCTTGGCATTAGCTGCCGGCGAGGATGGAGACGATTTTCTAGGATCCAGTTATCAGTAGCAGTGGCCTATTGGAAGAATTAGGAAATCGGATAGTGACATAAAAAGGCGTGGCTTTCTTTCCCAGTTCAAGCAGTGGAGCCCGGTGATTGGAGAGTTTGGGAGTTTTAGAGACCAGTTCACACGTTCTGCTACTGAATTTGTTGCGCGCATAGCTTCATTGGTCGGGGATCGATACTCGGCCCAGCTAACCAACTTTCCTTCCCTGCGGAATCAACTAATTGGTACCATACTCGCCTGGGAGGATGAAAGCGGTGACTTGTACATCAGCTGGCCACCGTGATTCACTGCATAGGCCATATACGCATACAAAGTTGGTTCTGAATGGAAGCCGAATGCTGGGCCACCCCACAAAAACGGGATTGATTAACGCCAGAGACTATGTCTTTCAGCCTTTATAGCCTCATAGATTGACCTGCCTGCGGAACTCCCATCATTTAGTGTTTCTCATTTACAACATCGGGCAGTATCGAATATTTCGAGACTGCATGCTCAGTTTTTTTATCTAGGGAGCCAATTTACATGACCGGGAATTCAGGCGATTCCGTGGGTGTTGGGTGTCAATAGCACGCCCCAAGCGAACCGCAGTTAGTAGCCACAAATACGTGTTCCTTGGAGCCTTGTCCAGCGTATGTATATCAGTATACTTTAGGTGACCACAAATGGTTATCCAAGGTCAGTTTTAGTTGTCAAGGAATTGTCATAAAGATCTTTGACAGTTTAAAGGTTTAGTCGTCGCGCCATCAATCATACTACTTTACAGTAACTCTTCTAACAATAGAAGCAGAAATAGAACATTCGTGCACTACCGTTTCCATCTGAACTGAACTTCCCTTTGCAGAGTTGTTGAGGCTCGTTCATATTTGACAACTAATGGTGCTTAAGAGTCGAATGGGTCGAAAATTATTAGCTTTCCATGACTGAGTTCCTCATAAATTATAACCAAAGAGAAAACAACACGCTTAGCATGACTGGTAATGGAAAAATTCCTTTTCAAGTTCAAGGAACTCAACTCAAAAGGTCATTTTTGCGTTTTACTCCATAGAGAGCTTGAAAATGGGCTGATTGAAAAATTAATTTCAGTAGAATTTACTGCGTACGCAGTCGGTGCGAGCTTTCTAGATACCGATAAATCACAGTCGAATGGCTGATGAAGTTGGACCAGAGTAAAAAATACTTGTGATTTGGTCTTCTTCTTACACATCTGACACTCGTTTGGTTGAAACTTCCTACTCCCTTCCCCTCACAGACTATACAGAAGACACAAATAGGTTATGATTGAACTTAAAGCCTTATAAGGAACTTACGTGTAGGTTCAAAGTCCACGTTGTGATTTTCATTCTGTCCTGTTAGTGCTATTTTTAGTTCTTGGGCAGGATTGGTGTGCGATCAGTGGAATGTGTCGATATCTTTTCTTTCGATCCGGAAATGTTGGATTTCCTGCCTGCCCCACAGCTGGCAGTCATACTTTGTTTCCCGGAAAGAGACGTAGGTTTATGACTTCAATTTATGCCTATTACAAAGTGACTTAGGAGGAGAGAGTACACAGGGTAAAAAGAGTTGAATAGCTATTTCCGTGGAACGAGAAGAGCTCATTCATACTGCCTGCGTCCTGGAGCAGGAGTTTGCGTCAGGACGCAGGCAGTATGAATGGGCCCTTTCTCGTATCTCGCAAGTCGATGATTCACGCTGGCGACGCTGGCTCATAGCCAGCGGATAAAGGCGGAGGGTTTGATGGAAAAAATTGTGTCGCATTTCTCTTTGGGAAGGAAAGGTCTTCTTTCCCTAAATAGCTATGCCGGCGTAAAAAAATCTGTCGTCTTAAAAAGAAAGAAGACGTATGATTGCAAGTTCTGTATAAATACGTGAAGGTGTGCAACCTTCGCAGTGTCTCTCACATGAGTGTACTATTTTTCGACTTGTCGAATAAAGATCGGCTCCGACGGGTAACGGAACTTCTCCCCTATCGCGGCATTCTCCCTTGCGGCTTGCGGCAAATGTCACTGCAATTACCGTACTCCCGCCAATCGATAGGACGCGGAATTTTTCGTTGATTGCCTTGCTTTTTTATTAGATTTAATCGTTTTTTCTTCTGTTTCTTTTTCGTTTTCGTGTTTATTAGACTTGATTAATTAGAATGACCCCTCCTACATAAACGACGATCAAGACCGCATTGGAATTGAAAAGAGCGGCCAGCCAATTCAAATAATTCAAGGACTCCCTACCTCACAAATTGCGCGCTCCAATCTTCCATCGCAATTCCGCGATAGGCGGCGGGTGCGGAGTCTGCGACGCCGTGTTAGGGGAGAAGTTCCCGGACCCGGCTCCGACGCAGACGCTTGTTTCGCACTATGAATGCGTCCAGACCGTTTTGTATGGTTCATTGAGACAAGAATGAAATTTTTTGTCTCACAATTCTTTTCTGTGACTTCTCACTTTGAATATCGAACGACTTTTAGTAGTGTTCAGGACCTTACGATACCTTTCTGGGGGTTGAAGTGTTGCGGAATAGGGAGAAATATGACCAATCATCGCCGTTTGTGCAGCTATTTTGCATGAACACCTGTTTGAGACAATTATAGAAACAAACTTGGTAAAGTAAGAACAGCTCAACAGGCTCGATTGCATCAAACTTCGCAGCCTCTCACACAAGGACTGAATACCCTTTTTAATGCATTCAAAGAAAAAGTGGCCGAAATCGCTCATTCATTGCATACCTCTCTTCACAGCATCCCAATCGTTCCTCCCTCTTGAAATCGCACATGGACAATGAATTCTCATCCGTAGTGATGTTTCGAGAGTAGTTTTCCTTTGAAAATCTGCCTCTCGTCGCCTCTTGCCCCTGGCACATGTTCATTGGCTCAAGTTGAATTAGATTATGCTAGTAGAACTGTGGGATAATCGTTGGAAGCAGGAATGATCCCCATAGTTCAGACTTTTGTCCACTACAAAGCACTGGAAACCGCGTCACCGTTGTACTTGAAGCGGCAGGGGGGGGGGGGGGGGGGGGGGGGGGGGGGGGGGGGGGGG